AGGCCAACTATGGGAATACTGAGTCTGAGGAAACGAGTCCGAGAGGAGAAGGTTGATGAGGTTTGACCATCTGCATACCTTGACGAGATAGACTGATGAAGATGATTGTGTGGAACTGTAAGGGAATGGGAAGACCAAAGTTTAATAGTAATTTTGATTATCTTTGTAGTTTGGCTAAATTAGACTTCTTTTGTTTTGTTGAAACTAAATCTGATGTGGAAAAGGCCCCTGTTAGTTGCTTTAGGAGGTGTTTTGATAAGTTTTTTTGTTGCAACCCCGAAGGGAGATCCAGGGGAGTCTATCTTTGTTGGAACTCTGGCACGATGAATGTTACTGTGCTTTCTATTTCTTCTCGATTTATTCATGCTTTAGTTAAGGATGTGTGTTTGAATATTGAATTCTTTGTTACCTTTGTTTATGTCTATCCCCATAAATATCTACAAAAGAATATGTGGGATGAGTTATTAGGACTTAACCCAGTTAATAAACCCTGGATGGTGCTTGGTGATTTTAATTGTATTACCAGTACTCAGGAAAAGTGGGGAGGAAATCAGAGTGGAAATATCAATATGACAAATTTTGTCAATTTATTAAACGATGTTGGCCTTATCTCTTTACAAGCTTCCAGTGTTCCTTTCATTTAGACAAATAAACACAAGGATAATACTCTTACTTTTTAGAGACTAGATAAAGTGGTTGCTAATTCCTACTGGCTTGAAATACACCCTAACTACTCCTTCCATAATCATCATATCCTAGGTTCAGATCATAGTCCTTTTTTATTGGACAATGTTAGTTCTAAGTGTAGACAACGGAGGACTTTCAAATTTGAGGCCATGTGGAACTTACTTCTGGAATTCAAAGATTTTGTTAAGGGTGCATGGAGTTACAGTGAGGGGATGCCTCCTATTGATCACTTCAGGGGCTGTTTAGGTAAGTTCTCCTTCCTTGCTAAAAATTGGAATCATGTGGTTTTTGGTTTGGTCAAAGAAAGAAACGAAAAGATTTAAAATGAGCTTGACCGAGTTCAACTTGACATTATGTCCTTGAATGGCACTGCAAATGTTACAAATACTCTCATTGATAAAACCAATTTAGAGGCTCATATAAATGAGCAATTCACTCAAGTCCAGGAGGAAAAGGTAATGTGGGCTCAAAAAGCTAAAGCCAACTGGCTTAAGTATGGAGATAAAAATACAAGATTATTTTAAATGAGTGCCACAATAAGGAAGAAGCGTAATGAAATCAACATGATTAGGGATGGTAATGGCCTTTGGTGGACTAGAGGAGATCGCATGAAACAAATCTTTGTGCATGAATTTAAGATGCAGTTCACTAGATGTCACAATCCTACCATTAACCAGCTTAGCTTGGTTTCTCAAGTTATTGATACGTGTATATCAAATGAACAAAATATCATGCTAACTGCTGTTCCTTCAAATAATGAGATCTTAAATGCTGCCAAAAATATTGGTGCTCTCAAAGCCCCGGCGCCGAATGGTATTCATGCTAGTTTTTATTAGGAGTGTTGGGAGCTGATACTGGTAGCACCCTCAGTTTGCAACATGGTAAAAGATTTCTTTATAAATAATACTAGTCTTAAGCTTATCAACCATACGAACATTGCTTTAATCCCAAAAGTGGAGAACCTATAACCTAGAGATGGTCAATAATTATCGCCCAATAAGTCTTTATAATGTTAGTTACAAAATTATCACAAAAGTTATGATTTCCAGGTTGAAGTCCCTTCTTTGTTTATGTATCTCACAAAACCAGGGGGCTTTTGCACCTGGGAGATCTATACAGGATAATATTCTCATTACTTATGAATTGTTTGCAAGTTTTAACAGGAAGAATGGCAGGACAAGAGATCTAGCTATTAAACTTGATTTGGAAAAGGCTTATGATATGCTTAATTGGGAGTATATCAAGTGTGTTTTGGAAAGGTTTGGTTTATGTCAAAAGTGGATTAGTTATGGAATGTATTACTTCTACATTGTTCTTAGTTAATATTAATGGTGAATCCCATGGATATTTCGATGCAAGTAGGGGTATTAGACAAGGTGACCCTCTATCTCCCTATATTTTCATTCTTTGCATGGAACCTTTAATTAGAAGCTAAAATGAGTTAGCAATTATCCCAAAGTCCCATATTGGTTTGCTCACCTCCTCATTTGGCTATAGAGTCTCAAATTTAATCTTTGCAGATGACTATCTTATTTTTGCAAAAGCAACTACTAAGGGTGCTAGGAAAATTTTGGAGGTGTTAAATATGTTTGCAAATGCTCCAGGGCAACAAATAAATTTTAATAAATCTTCCCTTTATTTCTCTTCAAATACAAGTAACCAGACTAAAAATGATATAGTCATTATTCTCCAAATCCATCATAAAAACTACTATTGGAAAATACCTCGTCATTCATAATATTGTGCTATGGAAGGACATTATGAATGGTAGTGAGCTGATCAAGAGGGTTAAGCAAAAACTGGCAGGTTGGAAAACAAATACTTTGTCCAAAGCTGGGAGACTTATTGGTGTATATGTCAACAGTATGTGATATAATTATATATGCTAATAAATAGTAAATGCGAATAGGAAATTAACAAAGTATGAATAATGAAATAATATTGAAGATCGAGGCGTACTGCAATATCTTTGAAACAGAAATTTCGTCCCTACTCAGTGCTTGTAGTTCTATAGACGTCTGCTTCACCAGGATTCAATGATCAAGTCAGAATTCCAGCACCGGAAAACTTGACTTCTGACGAATTTCTATGTGGTTCTCTCAGTAAGGATGATTTGGATTATAGAAGAAGAATTGTATTTTTTGTGTTCTAAATGTTATGCAGATGAATGTATATATAGTGGGATTATGCATGTTTCCAACATGTATGAGAATGAGATGTGACTGCTGGGAGACATCTGTTCAGAGGGGTGTTATGCTCTCTACGTTTTTTGATTTTAGATTTCATCGAAAAGATGAGTATTTTCAAATAAAAAATAATTTAATTAAATTTGAAATTAATTAAAAAAATAATTAATTAAAGAATTTAATTTTCAAAGCCCCAAGGGCCAAGGGCCATCTTTTGATAATTATATATATAAATATATATATATATATGTTAATTATTAATTAATTGATAGTACACCCCAAAGTCCAACCCCAAAGGTGAGCCCAATTTTATTCTCCAATGCCTATTATTCCAATCACTTTCTATAAGGGACAAAGCCTTATAAAGTGAGGAAACCTTTTGGGAATGGCCAATGTGGAACAATGAAATTTCTACTCAAAATTTCCAACAAGACTCACTCTGATTCAAGCAAACCTTATAGGTATGTCAAATCACATTATGTCTTGCTTTAAGTGTCCCTATAAACTAACTAGTCAATTGAATAAAGATTGTAGACAGTTTTTCTAAGGTAATGCCAATAAATGTAATCCAGTGAGTTGGAAGAATGTTTGTAGACCTAAACAGGCTGGAGGTTTAGGCATTAGGAACATTGAACATTTCAACAAGGCTTGTCTTGTTAAGCTGGGATGGAAAGTTCTGTTTGATAAGGATAACTGGTGGGCAAATATAGTTAGAAGGAAATGTCTTAGAATTGATTCCTTTATGCTAAGCAAAACCATTCAACTGCTTGGAAAGACATTCTAGGTTCAAGGGATATAATCTCCAAAGGTATGAGGTGGGTAGTTGATGATGGCAAGGACATCTTGTCCTGGACCCATAATTGGGTTTTTCCTTACCCCCTATTTCACCTCATACCAACAAACTAATCTCAGCATATTCAATGGGATACAAAGGCGACTGAGTTCATCGTTGAAGGACAGTGAAATAGGAACAAACTTAAGTCAGATAATGGATAGTGACATTGTTAGTAGAATCTGTGACATCCCTATCTCTCTCGCTGGCCCAAGGGACACTGTTGTTTGGGGCCCAAGTAACAATGGCAAGTTCTCGATTAAATATGCAACTTGGCTCCAAATGGAGGACTTGGGTTCCTCTTCAGTGCAGAAGCTTCTGAATAAGATTTGGAAGAAAGTAGTACCTCCAAAGATTAAGCTATTTGCCTGGAGTCTTGTTAAGGATAAATTACAAACTAGAAATAGACTTAGCAAGCTTATAAGAAACTTAGATAGCCAATGTCTGTTGTGTAATAGCCATGAGGAGGATCAGGATCACCTTTTTCTCTATTGCTCTTATGTGAAACAAGTATGGAACTGCTCAAATGATGCTTTATTATCAACTATTGACAATAACCTCAAGGTGAGTGAATGGTTGGGTGACTTACCACATAACGATAAGAATATAATGAGTAGTTTAAGCAAAGCTTTAGTAATTTGCTAGCAAATTTGGAATCACAAAAATGCTAGCATTTTCAAGAATGACAAGCCCTTTCATTACAGATTTTTTACTCGCACCATGAATATGGCAATGCCCAGTGTCCCCTTACATTAAAGTTAAGTTTGATGGCTTGGTTTCAAACTCTGTGGCAACATGAGGATTCGTTGTTAGAAACTGGGAGAGCAAACTTATCCTCGCAGGGGCAATGAACTTGGGTTCTGTGACCATCAATGTTGTTGAGGCTCTAGGTTTACGAGAAGCGTTGGTCTGGGCTAGGATGAGGAACTTGAATTATGTGGTTGTGGAGGGTGACTCAAAGCTCGTCATTGATGTGGTCCATGGTGCTTGTGATGTGCCTTAGAACTTAAGATTCATCATTGAAGACATCAGGTGGTGCGATACAAATTTCCATAATATCAAGTGGAAGCATATCTTTAAGAAAGCAAATTTTGTTGCGGATGCCAAATCGTCTATCGGGGGCTTAAAAGAAATGAGCTTTGTATTTGGGATGCTTGTCTCCCAATGGAAGCTAATATGGCTTTTCTTTTCGATTGTAATGGCACTAGTTGTGTAAAGGGTTCTCATCTTTAATACAATCCTTTTTCTATCAAATTTAAAAATTAAAAAAATTAAAAAAATTAAAATCTCACGTTGTCTCAATCTGCTGACTGAAACGACGTCGTAATCGGGCCAATGTACCTTTGGCTACACTTCTTCTTCTCATTGAGCTCGCCGACCAGTACCAACCTCCAACCTCCAACCTCCATAGAGAAAGAGAAGAAGAGAAAGTACGTTTGAATTGTTCGGCCCGATCGGGTGCTGCGCAAGGGGACACGTGGAAGATATCGGTCGGTGCATAGGTGTGAGAAGTCAAAAGTCAAAGGCTTGACTGAGAGAGATGGCAGAGGAGGATTTGGTGGACATAAAGTTCCGGTTGTACGACGGCACCGATATCGGGCCGTTCAGTTACTCATCAGCCTCCACCGTCGATATGCTCAAGCAGAGGGTCGTCTCCGATTGGCCCAGAGGTTTTCTCTTTGCCACTTGTTTCTTACAACTTAATTTCCATGTTATTTTGTTCGCTATGAAGTTTCTTCGATTTAAATGGGTTCATAAAATTTGGAATTTCTGTGTGGATTTGGGTTTGGAATTCCGTTTATGTCAATCTGGGTTTGAAATTTCAGTTCTTGGCAATCTGAATTTTAGCAGATTTTGATAGAATCTGTCCAATTGAATCTTGAGCTAGATTTCTTAATAATTAGATGAAATCTCAACAATTTTAATTTGAGAAATCAGAGTTTTGGTAGAAGTTGGGGATTCAGTCACAAATTTGTAATTGGCTCCTTTTTCATATGGTATTCACTGTTTTCCAGCTTTGTTTTGATTTTCTTGGATTGCCCTTTTGATTGTTTGGTAGGCAAGACTATGACACCGAAGACGGCGAATGAAGTGAAACTGATGAGTTTTGGCAAGATTTTGGAGAACAACAAGACAGTGGGTCAGTGTAAATTACCTTTGGCTGATATTGGTGGAGGAATTATCATAATGCTTGTTGTTGTACAGCAAGCTATCGAAAAAGCTAAAACAGGTAATGTTTCCGTTATGAACTTAATCTCGGAAAATTAGATTACTTGTGGCTTGTGAAAACTCCATCAATTTGATTTCAATAAAGAACTCTATGTTGGAAAATTATATGCTTCTGGCCATTTTGATAACTTCTTTTTAGGTGGACGTTCCGTTTATAGACGAACAGTGAATTCTAGTTTGGGTAGATTGGGTACTGGATTGATAAATGCAGCCTTTATACCTAGAGAAGTTAATCGTAATTTCCTCTTGCAACTTTTCAACCATTGTTGAACAATCAACTAGGAAAATATTTAAGTTAAAATTGGGACAAAAAGTTAACGCGGATTTGGTCATTAGCATTTGATGTGAACCTATGCGAAGGTTTTGCTTTCTTTCTTTCTTCTACTCCATAAGAAGATATATCTTCGGAGTTGTTAGTGACGTGAGGATAGTATAGCACCCTTACTCGTTACTGCTATGGTATTACAGCAGATTCGAGTTTAAAGAAAATTAATGTAGACAACAGTCGATGGAAGATACCATTTCGATTATGGCCTTATTTCTTCCGGAAGAACAATTAATGTCCCAAGAATAAAGAGATGCATATAGTATAGCATCCATACTGGTTACTGCTATCACTGTGTTCATTCTTCTTCATTTTTACTAATCCTGAGTATAAAGAATAACTAATCAGGAACATCATGTTGGGATTAATTAAGTTCTGTTGCATTCGTATAATGATTTTCTAAGCATGAGGTTTCTAATAAAAATATCGTCGTTATTTTCTGAACAGAAAAGAAGATTGATGATCGGCCCCGGAAAGTTGTCTGTTCATGTTCCATATTGTGAAAAAAACTGTTTAGAGGTTGGGATCTCTTGACCTGGGTATCAATCCTTTGGCTACAGAAACCATCTCGGGTCATACATTTGTTCATTGACGTGTCCATGTTGTGATGTGTGTACAGAAAACCATGTTGTTGGTGATTTCAGTAGTTTCAAGGTTTGTGTTCTACCACACGGGTTGCTCGCTTTTCTTGTTTCCACTTTGGTTCTTGCCTTGTTCCTCTGCCTGTCTGTACGTAAGTTGCCTGAATGATTGTAGCAGTAATGAAAATCTGTATATACCTTGTTAATGCAAAAGACAACATTTAAACTACAGGTAGAAATGCTTTGCTTATTTTGAATGTTCTTTTATTCGGTTACTTATTAGACAATGACATAGAGAAAAACAGCAGAGTTACTAGACTTCCCACCTCCCTGAGCTCGTTATCTCCGCACTTTGGTGTGCTTGCATTGCGAAAAAGTTTTTCTCACGGGAAGAGCACCAAGGTTGTGTTAAGGAGCGGGAGGACAGATCACTCATCGACCGCCTCACAGATGAAGTGTTGGCGCCCTTGAGGACGGCATACCTTTCTCAGAACAGTGGGGCGAATACGGTTGAGACATATTTTGGAAGAGCTGAAACTGAAATCCAGTGGGAATAAATTCAAGACTGGCGCCGATGCTAATTTGCTTCCCAATGAGATGACAGACTATGCGCAGCACTGGAATTTTGGCAAAGCGGCTGGGCTTCAGTGGAAGACAATAGTGGAGGATGTCCTGTCAAAGCAAGGCAAGTTCAGAAACTGCTTGGCCGTATGTGATGTCCACTCCAAATTCGTGGACAAGGCCTCCGTCGAGGTGTCGACTGCTTTGGGACTCCTAGTGTCTGAACTGAGTGAAGAGCCCTGGAAAGGAAAGGTGATCAACTTCTGTCGTTTGCCCGAGCTACAATCCATACAAGGCGGGGATGATCTTAGGCACAACTGCGAGTTTGTGAGGAGGATGAACGTAGGCGCCGTTGTTTTCCAAGAGGGGTTTGATTTGGTTCTCCAAGAGGCTGTGAATATGGGAGTCTGAAGCCGGAGCAGATGATCGACAAGGTGTTTGTGTCTAGTCACCAAGATTCTGAGCATTCGGCCCCGAATCGGGAGGCGGATTATGAGGCAAAACAGAACAAGTACAAGAAGAAAGGGTACAGAGGAACGAAAACAAAACGAAACAGCGGAAAAATAACCAAAACAAAACGTGAAAAGAGAAATAATAGTACAGAGAAACGACTTGGTTTCTAAATCTGCCTAAAAACTCTATCTGCAGCAGCTATCGTGTTCTGGATGTCTTCCGGCGTATGTGCCAAGCTTGTAAACCCAGCCTCGAACTGGGACGGAGCAAGGTACACACCTTCCTCCAGCAACCCCCTATGAAACTTTGCAAACTTTGCGGTGTCGCTCTTTTTCGCGTCCTCAAAGTTGTAGACCGGCCCTTCAGTGAAGAAAAACCCGAACATACCGCTTATATATCCACCACACATTGCATGCCCGGCTTTCTTCGCGGCATCTATGATACCTTGAACGAGTTCTCCTGTGATCTTATCCAGGTATTCGTAACTTCCTGGCTCCCTCAACCTCTTAAGGGTATGAATCCCAGCAGTCATTGCTAATGGATTTCCACTCAGGGTCCCGGCTTGGTACATCGGTCCTGCTGGTGCCACCATTTCCATAATCTCCCTCCTTCCACCGTATGCACCAACCGGCAGTCCGCCACCAATGATTTTCCCGAGCGTTGTTAAATCGGGAGTAATGCCAAAATGCTCCTGTGCTCCACCGTACGATAAACGGAATCCAGTCATCACTTCGTCAAATATGAGGAGAGCGTCATGTTCTTTGGTGAGCTTGCGTATACCATTAAGGAAATCAGATTTGGGAGTAATGAAGCCAGAGTTGCCAACAACCGGTTCGAGGATGACTCCAGCAATTTCTCCCTTGTGACTCTCAAAGAGTGCTTCCACAGCCGGTAAGTCATTGTACGGTGCTATTAGAGTGTCAAAAGTGGCTGCCTTCGGAACACCAGGTGAGTCTGGAAGTCCTAACGTGGCCACTCCACTGCCAGCCTTGACAAGGAATGGATCAGCATGGCCATGGTAACAGCCCTCAAACTTAATGATCTTCTGTCGGCCAGTGTATGCACGGGCCAAGCGGAGCACACCCATGCATGCTTCTGTACCTGAGTTCACAAATCGAACCATTTCTATGCTTGGCACTGCAGCGATCACAGTTTCCGCCAGAACATTCTCTAGAAGACAAGGTGCACCAAAGCTCGTTCCTTTCTTCATCGTTTCAGAAAGAGCTGCAAGTACCTGAAGGTAAGTGTCAATCCAAGATGGTTGAGCATATATTATAACCGTCTCTGCAGCTACCAGAGAGGAATCATAGTAAAACAGAAAACGATGAAGGTTCAACTAAACTATACTCCGGAACAAGAACAAGGTGAACTGACCACAGAACTAGGAACATCAACAGAAGCAAATAAAACTGCAAGAAGAAAAATAAAACCTCATCATCTGCGTGCCCGATTATCGCAGGTCCCCACGAACCCACATAGTCAATGTACTCATTTCCATCTATGTCCCACATGTGAGAGCCCTTAACAGAATCAATCAAAATAGGCTGTCCACCAACAGATTTAAAAGCCCGAACAGGGGAATTCACACCTCCAGGCATTAACTCCTACAAAACGAAACAAAATTTGCATCAGCAAGCAATAGCAGACACTGAAACAACATTCACTGTTCGACTTCAGATGCAGAAGAAAAAGTTCAAACAACACATACAAACAACAATAAGCGGAGATTGAAATCGCGACTCCAAGTACATTTCCAAGCAGAAACATGAACAACAAAGCAATACGAAACTGGAAAAACAGTTACATCCCAGATCAAGGGTGCCAAAAACAAATATATTCATCCATTTTAAAACATGATCAAGATTAAAGCTTTCAGTACATTCCTGTGTAATCTCAAATCCTATATATTCCCATATTTCTAACAAAATCCCACATCTCCAAATCATCTAAAACCCACCACTTCAAAGTTCCCAGATTCTCTACCAAACTTTCTCACGCCCAACGGTTCACTACAAACTCCACAACCCACTCACTCAAAACCCACAACAACTATTACAAAAAGTACGCGCAGATTGGCTAAAATGGTAATTGTACCTTGGCGGCATTGAAAGCCTGCTCGGATTTTTCGAGAGTGAAACTCTTCTTCTTCTCGTCGAGGGAGACGGCCATCTTGACGGTGCAGAACCGCCGGGACGATTGCGAAAACCGCGAGGTGGGTCTCTGAGAAAGCTTTGGAGTCGAGCAGTAAAGCCCGACGGCTGCCCCCGGGATTGTGTTCGCCATGATTGCTCGGAAGCTCCCGTGGAGCTGTTTCGATGAAGAAGATAAAGCGTAAGAAAAAAGTAAGACCAGGACCTTAGACTGCGGATTACATAGGAGATGAAAGCCATGCGGGTCGGGTTGGTTTTTCGGGTTGTTCAAGGTCAACTTTACTTGGGCTCATTACGAGCCGGCTGACGTGGCCCGTAACCCAACTACTACCTTTTTATTGGGTTTGGTGAGAATTGGAGGTCGGTGAAATGGAAAGTCTTAAGTCCAAAAAGTAAATAAGAAATAAAATGAGTTGCTTCAAAATTAAAATTAAAACAGCCAGTACGGTACAGCGGTATTCTGTTCCACTTATAAGTTAGAAATTTTAGATTTAAATTTTGTGGGATGGAGAGTTTAATATTACGTTATTAGAGCAATTTCACCCTTAAAAATTTTGCACCAGCACTCAACTTATTTATCCACTCAAGTAAACAGTAATAAATCCTAGTAAACAGTAATAGGTCAAAGTATCTCCACCCCTGACAAAAAATAGCCTAGTCAATTTTATTAAAATATTATTAATTTTTATTATAAAATAATAATTTAGTTTTTCAATTTTTTTTTACTTCTTTTCTGTGAAACCCCTCTCGTCTTCTTCTTCTTCTTCTTATTCTTCCCACTTTTCCCAGTCTTTTCTTCTCTCTGTACACCATCTTCTTCTTCTTCTTCTTCTTCTTCTTCTTCCTCCTCCTTTTTTTCTCCTCTCTGTATACCACGTCGTTGAATCTACCCTATTCTGAACATGGACACCCACCATCCTAGACCTGCGCACATCGTAAACCCCCAAAAATCAACACCTACATATTCAAAAATTCATCAAAAATATACAAAATGGAAAAAAAAATTCCAGTTGCAGGAAGATCCGAGTTACAGGAAGATCATGATTTGGAAGGGGGACATGGTGTTGAATATATGGATTTATCAGGGGAAGGGGGTTGATGGGGTTCCAGGGATTGGGATGGGTTCCAGGGATTGGGATGGGTTCCAGGGATTGAGATGGGTTTCCAGGAGTCGGATGGGGTTCCAGACGGGAGAGACTGTAGCCATGACGTTAGCAAGGCATCAGATGAGCCGTCTCCTTCCTCTGTTGATTTTAGGCAGACCTGTGGACTAGCTTGGGCTAGGTGCCAGTCTATTCCACGGGCTGGAGTGGATTGGCTGAGTCTCAACTTGTTTTTTCCACTGGGTGCCGGCCTTTTTTGCTTCCGGTGGAAGTGCTCTTATGGCTAGCTGCTAGCCCATTGAATGACATACCCCAACTTTCTTAGACCATCTTCAATCCTTAGGTCAAAAACAGTTTTTTTTATTCAACGCTTCTGAGTTAAAATTTTAGCCACAAATTATTAAAGACTGAATTTAGGCTAATTTTTTTTTCTTAAAGTAACTTTTTAAAAGAAAAAAGTTATGTATGCTATCCTAATTTAATTTTATGAACATTTTAACCTAAAAATATTTAGATTCCGACAAATATTAAAAAATCACTAACCCACACTATGAAACTCGTGAAACACTATGAAAGAATATGAAACACATAAAAGAATTTTTTTTAATAACTTCAGCCGTTAGATTTAAATTTGGACCTTTAGATTTTTTTTTTTTTTTTTTTTTGTACAGTTGGATTTCATCAAATTAAATTTTAACCGTTTAATTCAATGAATTTATAAATATAAAACTAAAAAAACTATACATATACGATGCCCCAGCTCCACTAATCCAAGGGAAAATCCTGGGCTAAATTTGGGCTAGAAATGAGTTCTGAGTTTTAACTCATATTTGCCCCAAGGGTTGGAGTAAATTGGGGTAAGTTTAGAACCTAAAATTTGAGTTTTACTTTGAGCATTAGAGTAGGTCTTAGTGTAAAATATCATTGCCCATAAGCTACACATATATTGAGCAGTTTAGAGAAAATCAAGGTTATAAGGGAGTTATGCAACGTCCTTTCTTAAATAATAGTACATATAGATATAGATATTAAGGGCATGTTTGGTACTCTACTTGAATCCAACTTTTTAAACTCTTTTTCAAGTTTTAGGCCTTAAAAACTTGTTTGGTAGGACTATTTTCAAAAATTGAACTCAAGACTAACTAAAAAATATAGTCTATTCTCTAAAAACATAAAAAGTGAGTTTTTAGAGTTTTTAAATTTAAACTTACTTCTTTTTTTTTTCTCTCCCTCCTCCCCTTACTCCAAATCTATCTCTCTTTTCTTCTTTCTCTCCTCTTTTTTTTTACCTTTTTTGTCTCTCCTCTAATTTGCTCTCTTCATTCTCTCGGTTATTTCTCTCACTTCTCTTCCTCTCTATCTCATCCGATCCTCTCTCTTCTTTCTCTTTCCTTCAATTATCTCTTACTTTCCTTCCTCCTTTCTCCTCTTTCTCTCTCTCATGCGACCCCTCTTTTTAGATTTCTTTGTCTAGTTTAAGTTGTAAAATTTAAAAATTTTAAATTGCAAACCAATCAAGTTTTTGAATCTTAAAGAAAATTGTTTTAAAGAAATGTTCTTAAGAAATGTTTTGAAAAATGATAAAAAATTTCAAATAGGATACCAAACAAGGCCTAACTTATGATTTTCACTCACAACGCCTTAAAAATTACAATGTATCAAATATTTAATTATTTTATTTCACAGTTGATTAATATCAGAGTGTAACAAAAACAGTTATTTCTAAAAACACATTAAATACCAAACTAACCCTCGGTCTTTGAATAAAAGCATCTCGTATAGTAAGTTTCACCAAAATTTGGATTGTACAAGTCTTGTTGCATTGAAGTTGATTTTAAAGCAAAGCCCATAAATGGTTGGCACAATATTTTATTATGTTGGCACGAGATTTTACGTTAAAATGTGAGGTAACAGAGAGTACATAGAGAGCCGCATTTTGAGAGAGTCTCCCTAGCATTTATCAAGTAAAAAACCAGAGACAAACGAATCAAAAAGCAAAGATTCAAAAGCATCAGCTATAAATTCTCGTTTGCCAAACAATATATTCTTCAGAAACATTCCTCCTCCAATATCAACACACTGTTAGCAACGTTCAAATATTTTCACTTAAGGTGGCCCACATATTAGTCATTAATATTTAGTTGCTAATATTGGTAATTAGTTAAGATAAGAATTAATCAAACAACCCACTCCAAGCATGACTCTAGTTGATTACATTCCACTAAGAGCTTGACTCTAGTTGACAGATAAGGGGAGAGATTTTGACTCAACGAATCCCTTGATGGTAGGGATTAGTGGAGTCAGTTTGTTTTCACGTGAGATTAAGGGGTCCCTAGCCTAGCCTTTATAAAGCTTTGCATTCCATTTGAGAAAGGCACTCGAGTGGCAATAGGCTATTTTGCAATGTCACTGAAAACCTGTTGTTGGACGATCATGGTTGGAGGTTAGTTCGAATTCTATTTTACATGTTGCTACGCTGAATGTGATCATCAAAATTATTAACACACACAACATTCAATTTTTCCATCACATATTTCTGCCACTATACTACTATTCTTACTATATACAAAATAAACCCCAAATATTCTCCTTCCGTCGGTGACACCGCCGTGACATTTTTACCCATATCCATCTTCAGAAATCTCAGCTTTTGCCACTCTAATCCACGATATAAAGCGAAAGCAGAGAAAGGGCAAATTGGGTATTTAGATACCAGATGATCCTGCTTTGGGTGCTTTTATATATTTCTGTCTTTTTCTTGTGTTAACTATTGTAATTAGGCGATTGATTGTTTTATTAGTACCATATTTAACGGCACGTGACCGAGGAGACCGAGAGCTTGTAGCTGAAAGTGTTGGCGTACTGAAACGACACCGTACCGCCGCTGACAAGGGGCTTGCCGTCGTTGACCAGGCAGTCGTTGTAGCGGAGGCGCTTGAAGATCTTGGGGTTGACGAGGCGGGCGGAGCTGAACCAGCCACAGGCGACGTGGATGTTGGAGATGTCGCAGCCGGTGGCGCACGTGTTCATGATCTCGACGGTGTATGTGGGGATGCCACTTGGCAGCGGGGGTGTGGGGCCCTGGTTTATCACTATGTCTGCCTTGCTGCACTTGTCTCCCCGAATCCTGTTTGGTTCCTCCATTGCTGTCGCTGTAAAACAGGAAAGCAGATGATATAAATATACAGACTTTAATATAGAAAAGGAAAATAAAACAAAAATATATGATTAGGGTCTTTAATCATAATAAGGCTCAGATAGTGCAAGGTTAAAACACTAAAATGGTCACACCAACCAACCAACCAACCAACCGTTTATTTGGAGAAATTCTTTAGTACAACTGCAAATTTGTATTCGATTTCTAAACGTAGTTACCTTGGTCACCTTAATGTAACGAAGTCCGCGTTGCTAAACATTACAATGTACACGTTAGCAAGCTTTTCAATAGGAGAAATTCTTGAGTATTGCAGCTTCATCACATAACTCGTCCACCCAAAGTGATGTCTGTATTCGAGTCTTACACACTCATTTTGGTGAACGCGAATACAAGAGGTTTTGTTTAATATGTATTCTGAGCGAAGAAGTGACGAGTCACTTAACAAAAAGGGTTGGGGAAAGCATTTGTAGACAAAACATACTTTTTTCTAGATGAGTCACAGGGATTATACAGAAAAGTTAAAACACAGACAAATCAAACCCAAAATGGCCAATGGAGATGGGACCTATCAAAGCTTCTGCTTTCAATGCATCACCTATTCATGTTTTGCTTTTCAGCGATGTCTTAGCCTTTTTGTGTTTGGTGATTTAGCATTCCAAAAAACATAACGATAGAAAGATTAAATTTGTAAATTAAATTTTTAAATAGAATAATATGTCATAAATCAAAATAATACATGTTAATCAAAATTTAAGTAGTACTTCAACCATCAACTATCTTGTTTTTAAATTTTAAAATTTAGTTTACGTATTTTGTTTTCCTAGCATTACTCTTTCGTAAAAAAGCTTAAGACTAATCGTCAAGACATTCTTTCACTTCACGGTAGGGTATTTTCCATGTGTCGACATTTACTTTGCAGGAAAATAGAAAAAGACAAAACGCAATTGGCATTCATTATATGCAGCAATTGGCAGACAGCTATGAAAGTGAAGTAGGGCTTATTTGTACGGGAAATGATTTCCAAATTTCTATTCCCTCCTCTTGTTTCTAGTAACATAATTCAATAAATAATTGAGAATGCTAAAGTGAATTTTTTAAAAGTAACTCTTTATGAACTTTTTAACATTTTATATTTTTGTCATAATATTAGCACAAGAATTAACGTTAAATTATAAAGTAGCATAGAGATTTTGGAAATTTTTACTTTTGAAGGAGGCTTTAACATCAACTTCATAGACTCTCTGTCATCTCAGAATTTAACATAAATAATTTAAGAAACAAAAGTAACCAAGAAAATGCAAGAAATAAGAACAGATTGTGAAAATCAATTCCAATTTGCAAAATAAAAAAGAGACTCGTAAACTATGATTTGCATAGAAATGTTCTCCAATGAGTAGTGACCACTAAATATACCGTTCATTATCATATTCAACGATAAATGACCATATATCACCGATGACCAGGTAATCAAAAGAACGAATGTACATATAATGTTCTTAAACAGTGTGCATTTTTATGCAAAGACTTTTGATTCAAATGGGTGACAACAAAAGAGGGAATGAAAAATATTGGAAGATTTGAGATCCCATTTAAAAGATACCCCACATGGGAAAGCAGCAAGTATTGCCAAAGAGGGGTCAATGACTAACGGTGCACGTTAGCATATACCCCTTAAGGGCGTGCTCTTCTGACACCTATTTCCCACTCCATCTGAACAAACAGTGCCCATATATTCACTTGCGAACAAATGGGTAACGAATTCTGGTTTGTCTCAGCATCACCATTGTAGAAAAAACAAAATTACGAAAAATTCAAATTGAAATAAATCAAAAACATTTATCCACAGACCTCCATGCATTTAAATTCCCCAATAAATAAACAATTTCATGGAAAATTCAATGATTAAATAAACTATTTATCCAGGGACCTCCATGCGTTTCGATTAACTAATTGAAGAAATTAAATTAAATCACTAATAATTTGAAATAATTAAAAATTGATCGCTTACCACGAACAAGCAGCTTGCGGTGGACTGCAGTGAGTGTGGAGTTCACAGCTTCAGACAATTCAGACATCAAATTTCCAGCTGCAAACAAAATTCAAAAACAAAAGATTATCAAAATATATATATATATATATGTATGTATATATATAAGGCGGAAAGTGTGAAAATAACGAATTGGACAAGAAATTAAGTAATTAATTAATTAAAATTAAAATTCGAGAGATGACAACCACATGGACCCCTTGTGTTTGCAAAAGAGATGCCAAGAACAAACAAAAAGCAAAACCGGAAAAAAAGCAGATCAAAATATAAAAATCAAAAGCAATAATTAGATAGGGAATTCTATGGGAATATAGAATCTAAGCATAAAAACAAATAACGGCGTGCGTTGCGTGAATCTTCGGCGGTAGGATCCAAACGACAAGTCGTCGTCCGTACACGTACCTCCGTCAAATCCAGGCGCGAACAGCAGCACCACTGCAACCACGACTCCGAAGAGAAGCAGCGACGCCAGGACCGCAACGACTGGCCGTTTCGTCATCATGTGAGTGAGTCGAGTTGAAAACGAACTCGGTTGCGAAAGCGAGAGTACTGAGTCGACGAACGAGTTACCGAGCAAGCTTAGAAGCTCTGCAGTGAAGAAAATACAAGTGAGAGGTTGAAGGAGTCGATGAAATTATATCACATCAAAAATCAATCAGAGAAATCAGTCAAAAATAACAATAGCCGTCGATTTAGAGAGAGAGAGAGAGAGAGAGAGATTGTGAGGGCTGAGATTTGACTTGCACAAAGTGGGAAGGACTCACGGGGAGGACGACAGAGCTAGAGAGGCTACACGGTAGGCTTTTCGTGTAGGCTCAAAACAGGCAAAACGACGGCGATTTGATGTTTGGAGAGCCAGAGCGGCCAGAGAGCTAGGTGTTTTCACAAAAGAGGAAACCGAGACTTTTCCTCTCCGAACTGTCGAGGAAAGCGCCGCGTTTCGGTGCCGAATCGCTGCGGCGAGCGAGATACAATTGCGTGTGTGGGAAAATGTGGTTTTTCCGGGAAAGTTTTGTGCAGCGAAATTACTGGAGCAAGAAAGAGAAAGAGAGAGAGAGAGAGTGGGAGTTAGAGAGAGAACAAACAGGCTGTAAACAGTGGTACAGAGAGGTACAAGGACACAGAGCGCACAAAAATGGCAGACATTGTTGGGTCTGCGGAGAGAAAAGCTCCAAAAGCGACAGAAATGGCAGAGCGAAATCGCACATAAATCCGATCGCATTTATTTGTTTTTTCTGCTAGTCTCGACACCTTTACATATATAAAAATACAGATACTGTATGTAGAGATAACTGGAACTAGACGACGTCGTACCTGGATTAGGGTTTCGAGGAGGGGGCAAGAGGAAGAAGACGAAGAGGAAGGGAATGTGGGAAGGTCGTGCGTGCGATCCTCTGGGCGTTTGGTTTCGGAGGTGAGTGATTATATAGTGAGTGTTAATCGAGATTAATTAATTGAGTGTTTAATTAATTAATGAGGGATTAAGGCGCACGTGGGGGAGTTAACTGTAACTGATGGGAAAAATGAATGATTAGGTAATTTATCCGGTTTAGAGGAGGAACGGGAAGGGGAATGTTGAGAATGGGGTGGTGGGGACCGGGGACCACACGGAGGACGTTTGGGAATTCTGCGATTGCACGTGCGTGCTGCCTGTTAAGATTTTTTTTTTTAATGATTATCCATTTATTTGGTTTTTGCTGTTTTTGGGCATTGGCAAGCATATTTTCGTAGAAATATTACTTAACATGGACAAGGGTGATATGGTCATTTCCTTTGAAGTGGATTTGATTGATTAAATTGAAATGGAAATATTGGTCGCCATTACATTGAATAAGAAATTGGAGGCAGATTGTTTATTTGGGTGTTTTTCTCATTCCCTTCTATTTTATGCGATCATAGTTAAACCACGTTAATATTTTATATTGATTTTTTTATAAAAATAATAAGATAAAAAATAATAGGAATATAAAATGTTGACGTGACTTAATCGTGACCGCACAAATAAGAGAGGATGGGAAGATCACCCAAACAGGAGGGCAGACAATTTGCCTCCTAAGAAATTAGGGCCTAAAGCATCCCACAACAAGGTTCTTCCAAACGATATTATCTACATCAAAAGGGTGAGGGAGTAGACTAAGCCTCATAATGGATTAGCAATAATGTGGTTCAAAATCTCCTTTGATGAGATTCGAACCTAAGCATTCTCACTTACTAGTGAAGAGAAGTACCACGAGACTATAGTACTCAATGGTAACTCAACACCAACTTTTGAAACTAAAGAAATTAGTTTTCAATTTCAGTGTTGTGAAAAATAAAAGCAGTTGCCAACAAAATTTGGGTTTTCAAATTTTTTTTGAAAAAATAAAAATAAAAACAAAATAATTAGTAAACGGCTTCTTATTATTTTTGGTGAATAGAATTTATTTACTTTTCTTTGAGAAACTGTTTTTTATGGAACACCTCCTTGAAACAAGAAGGATGATAGCTGGACTCATTCAATTGGTGCTCCGGTTGAGCCAGCTACTAATATTATTTAAACACATAAAATAGATCACATTGTTGACACTCTAACAGAAAAAAATTTATATTATATGTGATACTCGCCAATAAATCAATAGTATAGTCAATTTTATAACATTACTCCTATATTTTATAGAGTATATATTTAATGTTGTTTCATGAGTTTATTTTAAGAGCAACGCTCAAACAAACATGGGTCAAACTGAAGCAAGCACTACACCCCAATTAGGGGAATTACTTACTTACAATAGAGTTATCTTCATAAGTGGTGTACCTTGTCACATCCCGCCCTGGGCCCCCACCACATACTGGGCTTAACTCCACCGTAGCATGATATTGTTCGCTTTGGGCCCCGACCACGCCCTCATGGTTTTGTTTCTGGGAATTCACATGAGAACTTCCCAGTGAGTCACCCATCCTGGGATTGCTCTTGCGCGAACTCACTTAACTTCGGACTTCCGATGGAACCCAAAGTCACTGAGCTCCCAAAAGGCCTCGTGCTAGGTAGAGATGAGAATATACATATAAAGCTTACAGGATCCTCATCCCTGGGTGATGTGGGATGTTACAATTAATGCAAATGATATGTCAGCCATTGTCACTTAATATGACTTGTACGGCTGAATCTATAGCTCATCCATCTAGCCGGAGTCACCTAATATAACCTGTACGACTCAACCAATAGCTCAACAAGTATGCCTGCACACGAGTCGGAACCACCTAAAGTGGTCTGTACAATAGAACTAGGTGTAAATAAATACGCTCAAGTGCTATGATCACGTGAAGACTGTGCGAATGATTGCAAGTCACTTACGAGTCGGAACCACCTATAGTGGTCTGTACGACAGGACTGAACACCTAACTTGGATCCAAGGTGAGCGTATGATACAGGAGGTGAACATCACGTGAAGGATTGTGCCCTGACCACAAGCGGGAGCACTAACACCGGGGTGCAGGTTATGAGCTATAGATACATCTCAGCATAATCATGCAACTCACAACCACAATCTATAAACTCACCTGGATCTTACCTGAGCGTCCACAGCATTAAAGATAAATATGTGCAACTACAAAATGCATATTCTAAATATAAAACATTTGGCATGGCATATATGTGGATTTTGCTATTCCGAGCATGGTTTTGATATACGTATTTATTCTAGTTTCTGGGAAATTATACAGGTTTTACAATGAGGGGTTATTACCTTTGATAAGTGAAATGGTTTTGGAAAGCTTTGTTTTTACCCACTCACACTTTCTGTTTTGCGCCCCTCCGGGTTTTAGGTAGGAGTGCTTGTTGGTGACTTACGAGGAATTGACAGCGGTTTTGACAGATTATCATTAATGTAGGACCACCTCTAGTATTGTATAATTAGTACTTGTCCTGCGGGACTGCACTTTGGCTACCTATGCTCTGATTATTGTGTAACCACACTTAAATATCGGGATTATACTTTTAATTGCTTAGTGTAAATTAGTTAGCTTGGTTCTTAGTTATTCACATTTCTTTATATCATTATCATTTCCGCACTGCGCACATGGCTACGTCACCCTCACGTAACGGTCAGCACGTCTTGATTTTGGTTGGGGTATGTCATACCTTGTCTAATAACACATTGATATATGCAAATTTTTCTCCATATGACAATGTATTGTTGAATCAAGATGTCATGTATGGGAAAACTCGTTCCAATAAGTTATTCTCTTTTTCACTGGGGTTAGAGAGTGGCCCAGATGGTGTGAGCGGGGGTGAGTGGTGATGGTTGAATAAACGAGCTTTATTTTATATTTTCCCCACACACTATATTTACTAGTCGAAAATGGTGGATTGCTTGATCAATGGGATTTTCTATTTAGTCTCCGCGTCTTCAAACTTTCTTCTTCTCCTTAATGTAATAAATGTTTTTTGTAAAAATGGATTTCGTGATCAATGTGATTACGTTGTCACATAATCAAAGATTGTTTTACTAAATCTGAGTATTTAGTACCTATAATTCTGCTAGCTTAGAAATTAGGGCATCATCAATAAACCAAATTAGTCTGAATTAATTATCATCGATGAGTCGGTGGAGTAGCTAAAACCTTTCTTCAAATGGATACAATTGTGAAAAGAGTAATGCTAGATAAACCAAACTTTTAAACTATATTTGCAAATCAAATTATGTGTTGTTAATAGAAAATAAGTATGTTAATCAACATTTAACTGAAAATAAGCACGTAACCACCACGGGGTGACCCCGTGGTTGGGGATTAATTTCAGGCCCGTATTCCACATGGCACGTCTTGGGTTCGATTCCTGACGCTGGTGAATTGCACGATGGTGGGTAAAGAGATGCTAAAATACCTTTGTGAGTCTTCTCGGCCCCTATAAGGCTGGACTGTCAACCTCATAAGCCTCCACACGATGGTGGCCAGACAGACGTTGAAATGCCTTTATGGGTCATCTCAGCCAATGGAAGGCTGGACTGTTGTGGCGAAGTCCAAAATCCCTAAACCTCATATCCCTCCACTGCTTCTGTTGCGCCTTGGGCCTGCCTGAAGCCATGAGTTTGGGTTGCAGCTCCCTGCGTCTAAACCCTTAATTTTATTTATTTTAAGTTGTATTATTCTTAAATTTTCGTTTTTCCCATACCCAATACCAAACTATCATTTTCATGTTCTACAAAATGTATTTTCAGTGAAAATTTTCTTATAATCCATGTAAAAAAAAAAAAATAAGGATATAAATCTAAATCTAAAGGTATTTAAATCTATATAAAGTAAAGTAGGAAGAAAAAAATTCAATTCAAAAATTTTCACCAATCCTCCTTGAAGGACGTTGCTTGAAACTAGCTACTGCACTCAAGAAAAGTTGCTAGCTTCATACTAATCCCCCTTTTCATTTTTTTTGGGGTTAAATTTTCTTTTATTTCTCTTACCATAATAACAATCTATCATATTCATGTTCTTCAAAATATATATTTCCATGCAAAATCCATTATAATTCATATTTAAACACTTGAAATCAACGATTTAAAACCTAAATTTAAATATATTTTTCTATTTTTCAACTTTAAAAATCAATAAAAAAAAAAAAGCTTCGTGACCTTATAAATGGTAGGATCGCATCTAAAGATTTTGCAATGTTTTCCTTAACTCCGACATAAAATATTTCCTAAAGCTAAAAATTTCAATATTTTTTACAAAAATTGTGAGTTATATAACCCACAATTTTTCAATCGATTTTGAGTCCTTTTACAACATTCGTTATAAGCCAAGATTAGAGTCATTCTAATTGCAGCACATGTTTCCAAAAACTAATTTAGGACATCTCAAGATTTCGGACACATACAAATCTCCTTTTGGGTTTTTGGGGGGGGGGGGGGGTGGGTGAGGGTGGAGGGGGCGCTAATAGTTTTCATTATTTTTTCTATTTTTCAACTTTAAAAATCAATGAAAAATAGTTTCATGACCTAATAAAGGATAAAATCACATCCAAAGGTGTTGCACTAGTTTTATTAATTCCCACACAAAATATTTCCTAAAATTAAGAATTTCAATTTTTTCACAAAAACTGAGTTATAACCCATGTTTTCAATCGATTTTGAAAACTTTTACAAGTTTTCATTATAAGCAAAAAATTTGAGTCATTAAATAATTCAGGACATTCCAAAATTTTCGACCCTTACAAATCTCTTTAAGGGCCTCGCTATTAGTTTATATCATTTTTCTATTTTTTTCAACTTTAAAAATTAATAAAAAAAAATAGTTATGAGACCTAATAAACGGTATGATCACATCCTAAGGTCTTGCACCATTTTTGTTGACTCATACACAATATGTTTCCTTAAACTGCAAATTTCAATTTTTTTTTTCACAACAACTATGAGTAACCCATGTTTTGCAATGAATTTTGAGGATTTTTACAAGATTCAATATAACCCAAATCTTGAGTCATTCTAGTTGCACCACACATTTAATAAAATTAACTAATGACATTCCCAAGATTTTTGACATCTGCAAATCTATTTGGAGGGCCTCACTACTAGTTTATATTATTTTTTCTATTTCTCAACTTCAAAAATCAATAAAAAATAATTTCGGGACCTAGTAAACCTTGAGGATCCTAGGGATCTGTAAATCGTGTGTAGCATCCCACATCGACCAATGGAGAAGGGTTGATGTGCCTCATATATACATGCCCACCTCCATATAGCATGAGGCATTTTGGAAGCTCACTGACTTCAGGTTCCATCGGAACTTCGAAGTTAAGCAAGTTCGGGCGAGAGCATTCCCAGGATGGGTGATCCATTGGGAAGTTCTCGTGTAAGTTCCCAGAAACAAAACCGTGAGGGCGTGGTCAGGGTCCAAAGCGGACAATATCGTGCTTCGGCAGAGCTGAGACTAGGATGTGACATAATGGTATCAAAGCCACTCTACCGTGTGGTGCAAGTGTGCCGAAGAGGACGTCGGACCCCTAAGGGGGGTCGATTGTAACATCCCACATCGACCAACGGAGAGGGGGTGATGTGCCTTATATGTATATGCCCAGCTCCATATAGCACGAGGCTTTTTGGGATCTCACTGGCTTCAGGTTTCATTGAAACTCCGAAGTTAAGTAAGTTCGGGCGAGAGCATTCCCAGAATGGATGACCCACTAGGAAGTTCTCGTGTGAGTTCCTAGAAACAAAACTATGAAGGCGTGGCAAGGGTCCAAAGCGGACAATATCGTGCTACGACAGAGTCAGGACTGGGGTGTGGCATCGTGTCTATTCATCGTACATTATGCGATCAGTTTTTGTTACGTACTATTTGTATTTAATTTTAAATAAAAATATTTAAATTAATTTCTGACCGCATAAAGAGATGATTCACAAATCCCTGAGATCCTCACAAAGAAAATCCGGATTCCTAATAATCGTCAGAACCTAATAAAAAATTGTTCAGTCTACCAAACTTTACACACAGCAATGAACAATGGGATTGAAGCGACGGGTGAACTCAGTTGAAATCCTACATCACGAAAACACTAACATAACTTACGGTGAAGAGTAGGCATGGTTTGGTTCGGTTCGCTTGTTTCAAAACCAAAACTAACTGAATAATATAACCGATTCAGTTCAATTTTGGTTCAGTCCGATCGGTTTTGTTTGGTTTGGAGAGAGAGAGAGAGAGTAAAATACTTCGTTATTCAAGGAACTTGACCTAATCGGAGGATGCAAAGACCCATGTAACAGTACAATAGCTAGAACAACTTTGAAACCCAGCACACACTGAAGCTCATACTTCATATCATCACCCTGTTTTCTCTCCTTTTCACATTACATCAATTTACATCGCATAACTAGCAAGAAAGGCGGCGGGCGAGTCCCCCAACCATCCGATGAATGACTTCCGATCTACGTTAGACTACTTCTGAAATTCAGGTCAGCTACATTCCGCCAACTCCTAAAGATCACTACTGAATACAATGGCAAGAGTGCGCTATCTATTGGATTTGAGGTTCCCGGACTTCGTTGCTTCCAGTTTCCTTACCTTGTCAAGCAATAACTGAATGGTACTGGATGCATCCTGCAAAAACAAGCAAAATAAGGGGGAAGTGGATCTTAAAAGGGAAAAGGTAGGAACGAAATATAATTCGAAATTGCGCTGACCTCCAGCTTCTTTCTCAAAGTGGCCTCTTCATTGTCTCGTCGCTCCCTTTCCTCGGAGAATATGCCAATTAGAGTGTCTTGTTCTTTGTTCATTTCCTCAATTTTTTCTCGTGCCGTTTGGAGCTGGTGATCACAAGACCAGGCAGTAAAATCTTATTAAATATTCCAAGAGTACAATCACTTACTCAGATCTACTTCCCACTTTTCCAACCAGCTCGGTGAGAATTAGATATTAGGCATATACCTCGGTTTCAAGTGATTTGGACCTATCCTTTTCACGCTGCAATTCCTGCTCCAAATCAGCAGAAGCTCCTCTGTCCTTTTCTGCATCCAACCTGTACAGAACAAAAGAGTTGAGGATGACTGGCATGCAGCATGGTGATAAAGTACTGAAGCAAACATTAAGTCGCATACAAATATTTCTATAGTAGTGAAAAGGACAGAATAAGTACCTTCCTTTCAGTTCACGATTTTCTTTTCTCAATTGCTCCAAAACGCCTAAATCAACATTGACATCATTCCCCTGGTAATTGAACAAAACCCTAACTTTAGAAATATAATTACCCTCTAATGCAAAAAAGTGACTAGAAGCAAAGTTAGTAGAAGTAACCCTTGACTTGGAACTTCGGGTGGGTAAACTGGTTCCTGCACGCGGTGAATAATCTTGCTGAGTACCGTCCATACATGAAGATAACCGAGTCACTGGGCCACCTTTTCCAGACTCTTTCTTAGCAGAAAATGCCTTACTACTACTGCCATTCACTTGTTTATCAGTAACATTGACTGCCGAAGGTGATGATGGTTCAGAAGAACTTGATGATCCTTCCCCTGATTTTGAGGGGGAATGCACCCTATTTGTGGCTTTATCAGACATATGTACATTCACATGCCCATGATAAGTAGGAATATCTTTTGAAGTTCTGGAATGGAGCTTGCCGGAACCTTTAACTGGTTTCTTGCTGCCTGATGTTTTACCATTTGTTTCATAGGGAGAACCCTCTACAAATCAAAAGATGAATATTTATGAGTTTATAAGGTTGACAAGGGTTTTCAATCACTACATAAGTCATGTAAATAACTGTACCGCCCACAGCAAAAGAAGCATAAATTCTTGTTCCTGGTAACCCAAAAGAATGTACGGTACACAACATACCTTTATCTGCTGATGCATTCTTATTTCGTGGAGCATAGCCGATTCTATGACAATTGTTTCTCCTGCATATGCAGTGGCGAATGCCCATTTGTGAGTATCAAAGATTTAAAAAAACAAAGCAACTCACAAAAGTCTGAACGCATTGTAAGCAATTAGCCCAAAGAACACAAACCACAAACCAGTAAGTCTTTTGCATAGCTATTAATTTTCCCTCGAGTCTTTGAAGAACTGTTGTACGCTCAAACCCCTGCTTATCATGAGCTGGTTCAACAAAATTAGCTTCTAAAAGACCTACAAGAACAAAATGCCTCAGAAACAAACTCACTTTCAGCTAATTTGTTAAAGTCAAGGAAAGTTGAATGCAGAAACAAAACCTATAACACCACGGCCGTCACTTCCGGCAGCATTCCAAAGCCTCCAAAATGGCTGGAGATAAATAAGAATTTCTTTAAGATTTATCAACTTGTGCTTAATGACCAATGAAAATTCATTGCTCAAACATATTCAAGAGAGAACATCTTATAAAAAAGGAAACAAACTCAAGAAATGCATAGGTTAAAACTTAAATACCTTAATCAGTCGATTCTTGTGATATACATTAAACCCTTGAACATCAATATGATGTTTTGCATCCTTCACAAAACCAATGGTGACAACAGCAACCATCTGATGACAAGAGTTGCATGTCATTAGAAAGACAACAAAATTACGCAAAATTATTAAAAGTAAAAGTTCATCATGAAGTGTTACATTTAATTCCTTTGGAACCCCATCAAGACCAGGCTGTGGCCGATATGTGACTTGCTGAGACAACATCATATCATTGACTATGTTGTGGTGCTCAACATCCTTCCCACGAAGAATAATTCGGAAGTTATGAGGAAGCCGCAAATAGAGAATTGATACATAGCTCTGGAGTCAAAATGAAGAAACGTATTAATAATAATAATAATTTAAAAAAAAAAAAAAGAAAAAAAAAAAAGATGAACAGAAAGACTTATTCTGTCTTCAAGTTGAACCAGGAACTATGATACAAAATCATCTTCATCTATCACTTCAATTCATTTCATATACTAATCTCTCCTAGTTCTTTATCATTTTACCACATGCATTAAAACCAATGTATTTTACTCCGACTACTGCCAACTAGTGGAAATATCCAAATTAAGCAATGCACAGAAAGATAGTGACTAGAAGGAGATCAAATACATGAATTCCTCTCAGACACATCCCAAGCAAGACTACTGGAAAACTGATAAAAGAGCAAATAAAATGAAATTTAGTTTTACCCTCAATGAGTGCTGGTAGGTCAAGAAAAAACGAGAATTGGGGTAGTCCTTTGCCATTCGTATACTCTTCTCGTCTCGATTAACACCTCTAATTTGAATATCCTGAAAAATCAGGCACCATATCACAAAGCCACTGAACAACATCCCAAAAAAAAAAAAACAAAAACAAAATTAATATCTCGGCAATCAACATACATGTGGATCAGCTTCAAAATCAAGCTCCAGCTGTCCTTCATCATCCTCCCAAAGGTTGTAGATGATTATTCGGGTTCCATGGTTTTTCATCATATAGAACTAAACAATAAATAAAAATAACAAAATTAATAACAAAACATGTATTAAATTTACCAATTTGGTAAAAGCCCTAAAACAGTAATGAATTACCTGATGATGCAGGTCTTCTTCGTCAAAAAATGGTGCCCATTGAACTATTGTTTCCAAATTCTTATCCCAATCACTTGAAGAGGATCTTAACATCTTGCTCCAAGTCCCTTGTCCTCTCTCATAATCAAGCTTTTCATTCATGCACACAACAAAACAAATCCTTTTAGTCACAGGTCCTAAGCTAACTCAGTAACAACAAGAAACTCATTAGCTATTTAGCACAATACAGAAATAATGAACTAAATGCAACCAAATGTACAATAAACTGTGGTTGCTCCACAGCTAAAGGACCAACTTGTGACTTGGGTTTTAATTCTTTTTTGAGGGATTTGGATAAGTATACTGAAAAATAAGAATACAAGTATACCAGTGGTGCTTCTTTTCGGAAAAGCATACATGTAATAGAAAAACCAATGGCATAGTAAAATCCAACATTAACTAGAAAAAGAAGTTATTCATAAAAAAAAAGGGTGTCCTCGAACCTCCACCCCTAAATCCAAATAATCCACCCTGTCAATATCCCACTCCTCTCTTCTCTCCAAACACGCCAAATAAAAACATAGTGGATCAAATAAGAATACAAACAAACAAAAATCTCAGCTAAGGTACTCAACACAACACCTTTTAATTGCAAATTTCTCTTCCTAAGACAGTTAAAACTGATTTCACAAAAGTGACGTAAACCATCTAGGCCGACACCTAATGCTTACCCTCTTTTATTCTATCATAATTTTTTTAGTTCCAATACACATTAAGGGCCAACCTACCTCACCGATGTGACAACTATCTATAGTCACATTGAATAAACAATAAGACTTCAAGTGAATACGTATAAGGTCCATTAGATAGAGAGACAATTTAAATGCCATACCATGGGAACTACAATATCTTCCTTTCCCGTGCTTGTCAAAAATGTGTAAGACAGCAATCCAATGCTCTGTGTAGCACTAAAAGAAATGTGAATGTCTCAATTAGTTTAAAGAACAGAGAAAATAAATCTCAGAAGAAAAAAAATATTTTTTTCGTTTCATAATAGATAATGAGAAAAGGCGATGGGGTACACCAATAGAAGTGGTGAAATACGACCAAACACACACACACACATATTGGTGAGAGTACTCATTTAACTGATACTACTTAAATCATGAACAAAAAGCATGGAATATAATTCAACTATCCAAATTCGAGCAACAAGTGATATACAATTGCTTAATAGTTCTAGATAATTAGTTGCTCTCATTTATAAAGTCACTCTTTATGAAAAAGTGCATGTAAGTTTGTATGAATTCTCCATGCCAAAGTGGATACGAGATATGAAAATAGAAATTCCTGCAAGCAATGATGGTTTCTGAACCTCAGAAGTAACACACAACTCTAAACTCTAGCGTTGTTTCCATGAGCTGAAGAAAATAACCATTACCAACATAACATGAAATGCACTGTAAAAGAAACAACAATAAACAATTATGACCAGAAAGACACCTTTTTCCATCTTTTCCACTAGAACGAGAGAACACAATTACATCTGCTCCAAGCCTCATGGTACTTGTCTTAAAGCCATTTCCGTCTGTGTAGAAAAGCAACTAAAATGATTCTTTGGAGATTATAGAAGACCAAAAACACTATAGCTAAATACTGGTGTCATACATTGTCCAATAGTGTTTGCAAGTTTGCTTTTCGCAGAATACCCCAATGACATGCAATGTCGCATCTTATCTGGATCCATCCCACCACCATTATCTGCAATGTACGTCAAATGAAGTGCCAAACAATAAAAAATATGACAATTTGAGAACAAAAGTAAACCTCTAAGCGTTCTTCAAACGACATCCAACAATGAGGTAAAGTTACTGGAGAACTAAGAAAGTTAAAAATACCTTCAATTAGCAACATTCTGCTTCTGTCTTTCTTATTTTCTAGCATATCTACATTAACATATGTAGCACCACTGCACACCTGCCATTAAAGTGAAGAAATAACTCCAATCAGCGAGTAAACAGAAAACACATGTAGAATCATAATGAAAATGAAGAATGAAAAACTACCTCGTCCAATGCATTGTCCAAGAGCTCCGCGAAAGCTGCAAAACATCACAAGGTCCTGGTCAAGCATTAAGCACAGAAACACAAAATCAAGCACTACACAGAACATCAATCAAATATACCTCCAAGAGCCCACTTATGGCTCGTAGCATTCGAATGCAGAAACTTCGGGTGAACCCGGACATGGTCTATCCCACCTGCATATTCAACAGTAAATTTGTTAAACATCATTGGCAGTCCTGGCTGATCATGTTAGACCCTCGAAATTAGGCAACAGACCCCATTTCTGAACAGAATCCACTCTTGCATGTAAAGAGTGAAACTTTCCAATAAGTGAAGCAGTACACTTCTACCATAGTGCCTCCATAACTTGAAAAGATCGAAAACTTTCTCGGAAATCAAACAGATCTTAGTAAAAACAAACGCAAAGAATACAATGTAGCAGATTTTGAAGAGCAACGAGAGAGTTTAAGATTACCGGCAGAAGAATCCCAATTGGCACAAGGTGCTCCTTCATAATCCCCAGCCTTCCAAAACTGCTTACAGTTCGACCGACTGACAACCCTGCCCTCTTCCCTCCGCGCAACCGCCGCCTCCGGCCCGGGAAGCAGCCGCTCCACTTCCTCCGGCGGCAGAGGGCTCAAAAACCCAACCGGAAATCCAACTCCCATCCCGTCCAACTTCCTCTTCTTCGCCAAACCCCCCGAAGCGCCGCCGCCTCCATCCGCCGAATCGTCGGAGTCGGAGTCGCTGCTGCTGCTGCTGTCGCTACTCGTGCTCAGGCAAATTACCGAATCCGGGGGCAACTTACAACCGACGCTGGTTCGCTTCGGCGTTGGAATAAACGAAGCTTCGAGAAGCTCTTGCTTGACCCTCGCGTCCATAGCTTTGAAAACGAGAGATTCAAAAGGCCGAGACTACTTATTTTATTAAGTTCCGCTTTCTTTTGCTGGTTTAAACCGTGACAAAGATGAAGACGATCAAACCGCCGGGGGCCCACTCCACGCAAATCCAACTGCAAATTTCAATAATGATAGGCGGTGTTACACGCTTCTTTCTTCCTTTAGTTTTTTACAATTTATTGTATCCGAGGTCACAGTCGAAAACTGAATAATATGTAAAAGGTAAAAATAAATGTGTGGATACATTTTAGGTTTTTCAACTTAATTAAGGGCCCGTTGGTTTTTTACTTTAGATTTTTTTTAAAGGGTTTCACTCTAAAGTTAAGTAATAAAAAAATATTTAGTTAAAAAAAAAAATAAAATTATTTTAAAGTAATGGCCTTTTAAAAACAGGAAGAGATCCCCTCCGGATCTCTTCCACCAAAACTCACCAATCAATTAATTCGGATCTTTGAAATTTGATCTAACGGTTACAAACAGGATTCCCTTTTAAAAATTATAATAATTTTAACCGTTGGATTAAATTTCAAGGATTCAGATTAATTGATGGTGGAATTTGGTAGGAGAGATCCGGAAGGAATCTCTTCCCTTTAAAAACAACATATAGGTTACTACAACCACAACCGCACCACTGCCTATCTCAAAGATTAAGTATTTTGAAAAAATTATTGTCACCATCTCTTGACTATTGAAAACTCGAGCTGACAAAACTTTTTGACCATGTAAGAAGGGGGTTAAAAAGAGAGAAAATAAAAAAAAACATTTGTTAAGTTGTTGGGCTTTTTTCTTTCTGTTTTGCGGTGATTTGACCTCCTTTAGAGCAGTACTACTTCTACCATCGTTGTAACTTTTGTACCCTAACCACCACTCTCCACTGTTGGCACCACCACCATATCTTTGGTATTGTTGATGTCATCACCATCACCAGTGTCTCCCCCACCCCCTCCCCCCAACAATTGCTAATTCCATCGTCTTCACTACTACTATTGTCGGCATCGCCTACAATTACAACCATCAGTCTTACACCATTGTCGCCAACACTACCACCATCATTGCCTCTATCACCGCCAGCAATGTTGCAATCATCACCACTCCCAATGCCACCACTTCTACCTCTACACCACAACTACCATACCTTTACCATTGTCATTGCCATCACCGCCACTACTCACCAGTGCCACTACCATCACTGCCACTACTCACCATTGTCATTGCCAACACCCCCACTACTATGACCATTTTTTTGTAATTACATACAATTATATCATATATACATTAATTTACTACACTACACTGATTTTCATACTTACAACACTTTTGGAAATACAGTTTATCAAATGCCCAACTAATTTATTTTACAACTGATTATTCTTAAAGCACAATAAAAGCCATTTTTTCTTTTTTTTTTCTTTTTTTTTTATAAAGCATATCAATCCTAAGTCGCCCCTAAGACATAAACTTGCATAAGTGTTGGGTTTAAATATGCCCGTCTTATTTTGTCACTCTTTTTATTAGTGTAAAATGTTCATGATGAATCCTAAGGTTTAAATTTATTTTTCAAATTGGTCTTTATGTTTCAGTTTTTCAACGTTGCACTCTAAGGTTTTGTAATTGTATCAGTTTGCATGTGTGAAGCTTAAAATAATCCTAAAAATTCTAGAGGCGATCCGTAGACTTTTACCCAAGAAAGACAAGATTGCCCTCATTAAATGGGCAAGTTCCTCAGATATTCCCATGCACAGCTCACACCCCTGAAGGTCATCAACAGCTGAATATGACTACCCATAGCTCACATGTCCTTGGCAAGAAAAAGTCAAAGCATTAAAGATAAGGATTAATTACCCAAATCCTATCTTTAATACATTCTCAATTGAAGATTGACTCCATTCAAGTAAGTAATCCCAATTTAAATCAATTAGGGATAATTACTCCATTATCTCAAGATATTATTTCCTATTTAATATCTTGAGAATATTTCTCCATAAACCTTGGCCAATAGGATGCCACCATGTGTAGGGTAAAACTCTAACACTATGGCCGGCCCTCTCCTCCTATATATACCTCATATTCTACCAAATTTCAGAAGCTTTTGGTACCTTAAAAAAAACCCTAAACACTTTACTCTTTTCATATAAACTAATTTAGGTATCGAAGATCTATTGGCCTAACCCCCCCTCCCCCACCTCGTGAGCGCATGAGGCTTAAGTCTTTGATCAAATGTGTTGATTGTTTTGCAGGTGCATTTTCGTCAAAGCTAGAGACGGTGGAAATTTGCATCAACATCACGTTTTATCTATTTGAATTTCTAATTCTCCATTAAATTTATGAGTTTTTAAACAATTTGGTACAATGTTGCTTACATGTCAACTTAGTTACGAGTTTCACGCAAATCATGTCATCAATTTAATGAAACATGAAATAATTCATTACCCAAAAGGATAAATTGATGCAATTTTAAAACCTCAACTTGTTATGTGAAAAAAGCGAAAATCTCGTAGCCCAATTTCAAAATCACCACAAACATAATGAGAGTAAAATGTAGTTAACCCTAAATCATATGAGGTGGTTGAAGAGCCTAATAGCACTCATGTTTATTATTAGCATAATGTCTTGTAGTTTTCTTCTAAGTCCTAAGTTCAACTCATATAATAACAAGTACGATACATAATTATGACTAGTACATCACGCAACGTAGTTTAGTAAGAATCTTTGCTTTATCAACATCGTTGTTAAAAAGAAATTGAGACTGAAATTACAAGCATCTTGTATATAAAGAAATTAAGAATGAAGTTATTAGTGTTTAATGTTCAAATGATAGTTAGATCAAACTTGATCTTATTCTTCATGTCAATGACTTATAAATTGTAACATATGTTGTTTTGCAACAATTCAAATATGCAAATTGTGATTAAAATAAAGGAAAACTAATGAAAACGGTTTGAAAACTTTGAGTTTTAACGAAAAGGACAAAATAAAGGGTAAAGTGAATAGTATCAGGATTGACTTTTTAGTGTAAAAATGTGGTTTTTCGTTAAAATGAACAATACTGAGAGTTTTTCATTAAAGTTCCCTAAAATAAATTGATTTACATAGACCAGGGTTAATAAATATCTAAACTACCTATTAACGAAAAAATTTGTCAACTAAAAGAGATTGTAAAAGACAATTTAGTCTTTTATCATAAAATAAAGGAAGTTTTAACGAAAAACCCGCAGTACAGTTCACTTTAACAAAAAATTATATTTTTACACTAAAAGATCAATCCTGCTACTATTCATTTTACCCTTTATTTTGTCCTTATTGTTAAAACTCAAAGTTTTTAAGCTCTTTTCATTAGTTTTCCTTAAAACAAAATCATGGGCTGTAATGTAATTTCGTACAAATCAAGTTTTGTTGTTTTTCTCTTCCTTCACCCACATGTCATCATAGCATATCTTTGAAATATTAAAAATAGGGGTGTGCTATCCACACATCCCATTTTATTTCTCATACACTCCTTGATAATTTATGTCTGTTGATCTTCTTCAATTCATCCGATTCGACAGCTGGAAATTTAAAAAGTGTGTGAGAAGTAAAATAGGGTGTGTGGATATCACACCCCTAAAAATAAAAATTTAAGCTTCTTCCACATTCTTTCTCTCAAATTTCTTTAGAGAAGTGTTATTGGCACTCCAAAAATCTCATTCTACACTCCTCACAAGTGTATTTTTCTTTCTAAATATATAAAGTTTGGAGTGTAGAATGAGAATTTTAGAGTGCCAATAACAATTCACTTTCTTTATCTTCCACTAGTATATATTTTAATTTTTTTTATGTTTACACACACAATGTGTGAACTTCATCATGTATCTAATAAATTATGGTGAAATACTTAATAATATGATTTCTTAATTTAGTGTACTCACTCATCATGATGAAATAAAATAGAAAATGTTGTAAAATCGACAGTATGTGTGCAGTGGAATATAAAATAAATAAGACACAATATTTATGAGGTTCAGCAAGTGTGCCTATATCATCGGGCCAACATTAATAGTTTCTCTCATTATCTGAAATAATAGGAATACAAAGATAACTCACTATTTTCTCTTCTCTCTCTAGCCCAGCTTACTATTAATTTTTTCTGCATCCCTCTTCTTTCCTCTTCTTCCTTTCCTCCATAACTCCTCTTTCTTTCCTCTATATGTTTTTCACTCATCATTTTCTTCTTATTTCTCTCTTCTTCCTTCCTCCATATGCTCTCATTTTATAGGCAAAAGATTACTGTAGCAACATTATTCACTTTACAAACTTTCTTCAAATAAATAGTGAAATTATTGTGTATGAATAGTGATCCATCTGATTCTTCAGATAAATAGTAAAAAAAAACTATTTATGTGGGTCATTCACATATTATATTACAACAAAAAAATGTTTTGTAAGCTGTGAAAAGCCACACACTAAAGTGTAGATTTGCTTTGTACTTCACTGTTTGTTTCATTTTTTTTCTCAAATGTGTGGGTCCTACATGACATCAGTGATGCAACATGGATATCTTCTCATGTGAAGTTGAAAGAAATAATTTGTAAACCAAAAACACAAAAGAAAAATACATTAAAAGAATAATTGGGAGCATTTCCAAATCCAATGTTGCTTCATATAAAATGAAGTTTGATTCCTTTTTCTTTTCTTTTACCTTGACACTTTTTTCCATAATAAGAAATAATATGAGACACATGAATTGAATTATTGAAGTGATGCTCACAAAAGTTTTTGATTTTTTCTATTGGTAAGTCTAACATGACAACTATGATAATAATTAGGTATTTTTTATGGAAAAACGTATGAAAGATATTTCTTATTAGAAGTCACCGCTCCTAAACATATCATGTTTATCGTAAAAACATTATTACGTAGTACAAAATCAATAAAGATTTTCATGTTAGTAATAATTGAACCAATTCCATTTCGCACTATTCAATAAATCTCTTTCAAGGCATTATTTATTGAAATATATGTTATCCAATATGACTTTTGCAAAGCATCGTTTTTCGAACTTCACATTGTTTGATATAACTTCCTCAAGGTGACTTAGC